ATAATTAACTATTATTGCACAATATATTAGAACCTGTTTAGAGCGGACACCCTTTATTAAGCGGACACTAGTAAATGTCGCAAGGGTGTCCGCTCAATACAGGTTTCACTGTACACAGTAATCAGTCACTCTATTACAATTACGTCTGGCAGTGTGACTGATATGATAGCACCAGCAGACGATCATTTTCTGTGAATTTTATAGCAGCTACTCCTATAGTTCCGTGGAGGCGCGGTGGCCTTATGGTTAGTGCGCTCGTCCCCGGATCGAGCGGTCCGGTTGTAGCCATGGCCGGGGACACTGTGTTGTGTTCTTCGGCAAGATACTTAGCTCTCACAGTGCCTCTCTCCACCCAGGAGAATAAATGGGGGAGTGGCCTGCGATGGACTAGCAACCTATCCAGGGGGAGTAGAAACACTCCAAGCCGCTTGGTGCTACAGAAACCGGGATAAGCTCCGGCAGCTATGAGCCAGTCGTCTCCAAGGCTTCACTTACACCTGTGTTGTAACATTAACAATTTAATTGCTTTATTTAAAGCGACGTTTTAAATAAATAGATTGAACAAGATTATAAATGTGAGGTTTGTGTGTCAGGAGCCCGTCACTGGGAGCGTGTAACTGCCCCATATTCCTATCTCGGCGTTTTCACAGACTGATCTATTTTCAGTTTGAATTTACCGCGGATTCAGACCCCCGGGAACGTTAACCTCAGTAACCAATCCTGAAAACAGGAAAATAGATAGGGAATTAGCGTATTTCATTATTTTATTTTATTATGTGGACATGTCCACCCTAGGACGCCATTTTCTTTCTTGCCTATGCAAGCTCATGTAGACCGGGGGTCCGGAACTGACCTATTTCGCAGGAAAAGAAGCCCAAAAATAGACGAGTCTGTAAAAATGCCGTGACATAGGCTTAATTGCGGGGACTTTGTTTTTTTGAGGATCGTGGAAAGACCGCAAAACAGTAGAACCCGTAAAAATATCGTGCGACACGGTATGAGGTACATGTAATTTGTTCTATCCTTTGTCATTGTGATCATTGTATGTTCAGCGCCAAGAGACGATGAGTCAATCGTGGAACGCGCGGATAGAATCGCCAGAGAACTGGACGCCCCCACCCCCGCGTGCTTCACGCTCGCTTCGCTCGCCTTTTCTTTCGCGTGAGACGAAAAATAAAGAGGCTGTGAACAGTCTAAACGTGAGAGTGATGTGAAAGAATCAGGAGAAGCGTCGTTGAACATGCAGGCAGAAGTAGCTAAAAGTCTCCTGATCACCAGTCTCAAGTCTCAAACTGAAGAAATCACCCCTGAAACCACAGGAAACGCAAGATTATGAACTGCGTTCTGCGAGCCCCATTAGCCGAGCGCAATTAACGAGCTTGTGGCTCCTGTGTTTTGGCTTTTTCAAGTAGATCCTAAAGTGTGAAGTGGCCATGAAGTAATGAACTCTGAGCTAACGTAAACAAAAGTCTGTGTTCACGTATGAATTTAAGAAAACTTGGCAGGATTCATGTCAAAGGTTCTCGTGTTTTGCTTATGGAGTCGCAGTTACCGTGTATAAGAGCCTGCTCAGGAGCCAGGGATGGGTGAGAGATCATATGAACGTTTTGGTGGGTACATGAGGCAAGTAGCCCTAAATTAGACAAATAAATTGCCTCCTTGCTACTTCCCAGAGCTTTCTTGGCCCCTAATGTGTCTGGCTATTTGAATATTCCATGGGGTATATTGGTACAGAGCTATATCTCAAAACAAAGATGGCGAGATGTGGTAGTTTCAAGCTGGTGAATTTCCGTTTTTAGAACCAAAGCACACCCTTAGAGACTGAGCTTGAAATGGCAAGGAATAAAAATTACAAAGAAGAGGACTTCACGGTTCGGCGCATGTCTGTATTATTTATTCGCCTGTGCACTCTTTTTGGCACAGGACCACTTTTTCATTGTTTATGAACCAATCGTAAGCAAGTTACCTAATTTTGCATGCAAATAGCCGTAAAATCATCAACCATAAAATAAGTCAACTAGAAAGTCTACTGAAATCTTCCGAGAATTTTGGTCACACATCATTCTGCCACGACTAGCTATAGCAGGTGATTACTGAACAACATCTGAGTGGGGATTTTAAAGCGATAACATTGATAAGAAGCGAAGAAAAAGTATTTTGATGTAGAGACATGCGCCGAACCGTGAAATCCTCGCTTTAAGCGATAAGAAGGAGGGTAATTATGGCCTAGAAGCAATGATGTCGTCTTTCGGTTTTATGTCACATGCCTTCTGAAAACAACATATAAAAAACCGCACTGCGGATAACTATGAACAAGTTTTAAATGAACTTTAAAGGGACTTTCATCTCTTCGAAACTGGAAATCTCGCTGTATGGGTATGGGTAGCCGAATTCATCGATTTTGAATTAATGACATTCACGTCTACAGGAATTGTTTTGGGTCCGTGCCCGTTTTGGCGTTGCAAAACTTTTGTGTTTTTCAAATTCTCGGGATAAACAACAACTCGATAGTTTTGACTGAAAAAGGCTTATCTATCATTCACCTAGTTATTTTCATTAATCTTATAGTTCATGCAGTTAACTAAAGCTTGATATCTTCGAACTTCCCGTTAGGAACCGCTCGTTTTTGTTTCGTAAATTAAACAAGAATTTAACAAAAGAGTGACGTGTTATAGTGAACCAACGCCAGTATAATATTTACGGCGTTGACTGCACTCTGCACAAAATTCTTAACACTGACCATACTCCAGGACTTATATACGATTTATTTCCGTATCTTTTTTTGTTATTTTGAAAGAGTCATCCCTTAACTTGCACGCTTTCGTGATTTGTTTTGATTAGAAAATATATGGAGCGACCGAAACTCGATTAACCAAACGTTACACAAGCTTTCACGAGGACAGAGCATTATTTAGTTTTTGAATTATTCTCGCCTTTTCCTCTAAGATTTTACTTCTCTTTTGGCGTCGAACGAAAATCCATTAAAATCCTTGCAGGACCCACTATCTTGGCCACCCATGTGCTTCATACATAACCCCGTCGATACACCTGAAAAAGAGTTTAATTTCGGCCAGTTTAAATCGTACTCAAAGATGTCAGTAAGGAGCACAATCTTCAATTCAACCGTAGCTATTCCTAAAATCAGTTTTACCGCCATATCAACAGCTGTCACTTAATAGGCCTCGAAAGACCTCAAATGAATACCGTCCGAGATTTCTTTCCGCATCAGAAGCGACCATAATATTCTCATCTCATTACGTCGCACAGAGATGTTTGCTGTTCGGCGATCAGATGAAAATGAACTCGAGCGATACTTTCTCCCGGCATTCTTTGCGAGTCGTGTGCCTGCTCTCACACGTTTTCCCGCGCTTGCTGTCGGCTACGAGTACTTGTTTTGTGGTTGCCATATACTTTGGTTCTGGTTTTCTGATACTCACTTGGAAACCGAAATTGTTCAGTCGGTCGAACACTGAGGGCTTACATTTCCTATTGAATAATCACAAGGACCAGTTGACAAGCATAGAGCTGCAAAGGTAAGGTAAATTACTCTGACTTGCCAGATCTGTTAATTTTCTCTGACATGAAGACTGGAAGCGTCAACAACAAAAAGAATCCCTTGATTATCGGCAATTTATGTTTTTAATTTTGTTTTTCGCTGCAGAGGAATGATGTTCCACCGATCGGTTTTTCACTGATTGTATTTTTCCTTTCGAGATTGGAGCATTAAACATAAAGAGATTTAAATTTGTTTCGTTTCTTAACGTAAGCATTATCGGGAAAATTCCTTGTGTTGAAAGCAATTGGTGTTATGTTAATTAAACTATATCTGCACGAGTTGTAATTTTCTGGCCAGTTACAGTTTAGTTGTTGTGTGTATAAAGTTCGCTTCTTTCAGTGGAGTCGTTTCGCATTTGAAGAACGCAACAATTGGCGACGAGATGCCGGATACACCGGGATGATCAGCGCAGCCTAGTATCGTGGCCCAGCTATCGCATTTAGGGCGTATGGAAGAGTTTACGTCGGGAAGAGATTGGAAACTTTATGTGGCTATTACCGTGGCCGCTTCTTTCAGTGGAGCCGTTTCGCGTTTGAAGAACGCAACAATTGCGACGAGATGCCGGATACACCGGAAGGATCAAAGCAGCCTAGTATCGTGGCCCAGCCATCGTATTTAAGGCGTATGGAAGAGTTAACGCCGGGCAGCGATTGGAAATATTATGTGGAGCGACTCAAAATGTTCTTCAGAGTTAACAGTGTGCCGACAGACAAGCGTGTTGAGGTCCATTTCAGCGCCGAGGAAACCGAAAGAATTAAATTTCACGGAAATGGTGGATACTCTGGCACAGCATGTGGATCCAAAACCGATAATTATCGCAGAAAGACACAAGTTTCACAAAACCGAAGGGGAAGAGTCGGAAACTGTTAGGCAGTACCTCGCCGAGCTACGAAAGTTAGCGGAGACTTGCGAATTCGCTCCATATATATATCGCGAGGAAACCATTCGAGAACGGTTTGTGTGTGGTTTGCGTTCAAATTTCAGATTCGCGCAAGTTACTGGCTGAAGCGACGTTGACATTACAAACCGCAGTAGAGAAAGCCGTGAGCGTGTGCCACCGAGTTCACGGAAAAAGAAGCCTCAGGATTTCATGGTGACTCCCACCTCGATGTTCAGAAAGTAGAGGGAACTTTTCCCAAATGTTTCATGTGCGGAAAACTAGTCATTCTCCGGAAAAATGTTTCAGCGGAAAGCACAGTGTCATGGGTACCAGAAATTCGGCCACATCGTAATGAAGTGTCCGGAGAAGCGTGCACCGAAAGCCAAGGGAGGAGAAAGTTAGAAAAGTAAGATGAAAGAAAAAAGAAATCCGGTGGAATCCGTAACGTTGAAGAAATGGAGACGATGGCCGAACCAGTCGATAAAACCGCCTGGCCTATGTTTACCGTGGTGGATCATCAGGGAAGTTGTAAAGAACTCATCGTACCGCAATGATTGATGCAAAGTCAGTGGATCTGTATACTGGTGCCTCGGTCACGATCATTCCGAACCATGTATTATCCGATGTACTGGCAGCAAAGTCTTGGCAGCAAACTGACGTAAAGTTGAAGAGTTATTCTGGGCATGAAATTCCAGTTGTTGGAGAGGCCAAGGTCCAGGTGTCGTATGGTGATTAACCAGCCTGCCTTCCAGTTATTGTTGCTGCCGGTGATGGTCCAGCATTTGTGGGACGAAATTGGTTGTCCGTTGCTACACTTGACTGGAAACAGATCAAACGGATTTCCCTGGAACCGTGCGACAAAGTTAAAATTTGGTTTCTAAATACGCATCACTGTTTGATGGAAGCCTGGGCTCAATCAATGAAGCGACCTCTTATCTCAAGCTCAAGGAAAATGCCAACCCGCAGTTCTTGAAGCCTAGACCTGTTCCCTTTGCCTTGAAAGAGAAGATTGCAGAGGAGCTCAAGAGGTTGGAAAGACTCGGTGTATTGGAGAAGGAAGAATTCTCTGATTGGGCTATGCCTATCGTGCTGGTTCTTAAGCCGCGGATGGCACAGTGAGGGTCTGTGGTGATTATAAGGTCACCATCAACTCCGCTTCAGATGTGCCTGAGTACCCCGTGTCAACGGCTGAATAATTATTTAGGCCGCTGAATGGTGGTGAGGGCTCCACACTAGATTTTGTCCACGGCATATCAACAAGTGTCGTTGGATGAAGAAACCAGGCAGTATTTCACGATCAACAATCATCTGGCACTTTTCCGTTATACACGCCTACCACATGGAGTGACGGCAAGTCCAGCCATTTTTCAGCAAACAATGGACTCTGTAATGAGTGGCCTTAATGTAGTTGGTGGTATCCTGGATGACTCAATCGTAACTGGTCCAAACGACATGAACATCTTCGCAATTTGGAAAACACTCTTAAATGTTTGGACAGTATGGGTGTGAAATTGAAAAAGTAAAAGTGCGTGCTTTGAAGCCTTCAGTTGAGTATTTCGCGTTGGTGGTGGATCGACATGGAATTCATCCTTCTCCGTGCTAAGTACATGCCATCCAAGAAGTTCCAGAGTCGCAAAATGCAAAGGAACTGAAATCTTTCTTCGGGCTGGTAAATTATTACCGTAAATTCCTACCTAATATGCCATCCATTGTCCACCCGCTGAGTCGCTTGTTGATGTTCGATGCACCCTGGGGCTGAACGAAAGCTTGCCAAGAAGCTTTTAAGTAGTTGAAAAAGTTCTCCTTAACGCACCTTTGTTGGCCCACTGTGACCCGGACAAACGAGTTCGGTTGGCTGTCGACGCCTCATCATTAGGTTTGGGAGAAGTCTTGTCACACGTCTCTGATGATGGAGAAAAAAAAACCAATAGCGTACGCATCCCGCAGTCTCTCAGCAAGTGAGTAAAATTATTCCCTGATCGAGAAAAAAGCTCTGGCAATTGTGTTTGGCTTTAAAAAATTCCATCAGTACCCGTTTGGAAGACGCTTTTCATTGCTTGCAGACCACTGGCCTATCAACTTGTTGCTTGGTCCTAAACGTGATACATTTATTCCTGTGCTGCAACGTTGGGCTATTCAATTGTCAGCTCATCAGTATGACCTAGAAAATTGGGCTTCCAACGATAATGTGAACGCTGACGCACTGTCTCAGTTGCTACGAAAGGCCGTGAAGGAGCAGGATGATTGGAGTACCGAAGCTTATCAAGTTAACCGCGTTCAAATGGAACGAGTATCAGTCAGTGTCTCAAATCCGCGAGGCCACACGTGGGGATCCACGCGATGTACTGCATTTTTCATGGTTGGCCAGCGGAAAATTTCAGTTGAAGATTTATTACAGTGAACAAGACAATTTTAACGTTGAAGATGGCTGCATCCTCCGTGGCACCAGAGTAGTGATTTCTAACAAATAGTAGGGTGCTGTTTTGTCGGAGTTACATTTCAATCATCCTCGAATGATCCGTATGACGTCCCTGGTCAGAAAGCATGTGTGGTGGCCCAGCCTTGATCAGGATCCTTAAGACAAACTGGCACTTCCGAAAGGACTGTGAGTAAAAACAGCGAGACTAAAGCAGGTAATTTCGATCAACCACAAGCGAGAAAAGGTAAAGAAGGTCAAGTTGGAATGCCGTCTAGTCCAGTCAGGTTAAAAGCGCTAAATCGCCTTAGCTGGTCATTCAGAGAACTCGTGGAACCGAAAGAAGGAAAGAAGAGCCAAGAGCTGTTGGAGGCAGGAGCATGGAGCTCGTACGATTTTTCAGAAGTACGCCTCAATCTCTTCCAAATGCGCAAATTTACCCTCATCAACGTGAAGTACGCCAAATTGAAATGATGCTGGGAGCGTTTATTAAGCAAGTTGAAATATCCAAGGTACAGGTCAGTTTTACCTCGGGAGACGTTTCTGCTACCACACACTGCTAACCCTAAGTAACCAAAGTTGACAAGCATCAGTTACTCTCTTTGGAAAATCCTCGTTATGAGAAATGCCTGGAAAAGTACGCCCAATTGGAAGGAATTGAAATAGAAACAAGGACTCTAAGGAGCGCCTCCTATCAGTGCACCTCATCCTACGAGCTAGTGACTACTGTAAAATTAAGAAGAAAACTGCACCCAGTGTTGAACCCCTGCTGGTCCTATAAGAAAGAGGACCAAGCTCGTTTGGACTACAACATCTGAAGAAGTTTCTCTCAACACCTCACGCTCTGGTTGAGATAATTTGTGCAGGTTAGGTGTCCTAAGGCTTGCAGATTCTGCTGTGGTGATCAAGCTTAAGGTTTTGCAGAGTTGAGGTATGGAGATGCAGAAGGATGGCAAGAAACAAGGCTTTCTTGGAGAGGAAATTACCCTTCCCTCTCAAGCAACGAAGTAGGAGGTCTCCGCCGATTGCAGAAACCCGCGAGAAAATTACGCAGCCATGGGACAATCAATCGTTATGATAGAGTTATCCAAGATGGGGGAGTAGTTGAGAGTCTGGTCCTACGAATGAGTTCCGCGAGTTCTACAGTCCACTCAAGGGAGTAGTGCGCGAATCATCAGAAACCACTAACCTTCGTGTTATCTGACACATCTAGCGTGACGCGCTAAAATCTTACTGGATCAAGAATCTGAACAATCAGACGGCAGAAAAATTATGGTTCATTAGGGTCCTGTTTGGCCCATCTCTTCGCTACGTCTCCTCGGCAGAATTATACAACATATCCTGGAAAGCTGTGGGACAGACTAAGCAGAGATGAAATTGACAAAATCTTTTATGCAGATGATCTTATCAGAGGAGGCCAACTCGATCGAGTGAAGGTGAAAGGATGCAAATCAGCTTGCCCGGAGGTGTCTGCTCAAGAGACATTGAGGTTGCACAAGTGGCACTCAAAGGTAAAGGAGTTGCAGACAGCTAGTTCAACATCAGCCACAGAGGAGAAACTGTAAGCAAAGGAACAGTTGGGCATCCTATGAAAGGAAGGGGCTTGTATACTCAGTCTGCAGTAGGGCAATGACAACAATACCATCAGCGTTAGCTTTCCATCGGAGAGCACTTATACTGGGCATACAAAGCAAGGTATTTTACGTAAATTGTCAAAGATGTACAATCCACTGGGACTGTTGTCATTAATTAATGACACTGGTAGGGGAGGCGAATTCCTTTATCGTGCTGTTTGTGACGTCAAACTGACTAGCCTGCGATGTCAAACTACCAAGCGGCTTCATGTATAATTGGCTCCAGTGGGAGAAGAGACATCAGACTAAGTTACTTTGTATTTTGCGTTGGAAGAAACAAGGCAAAAGTGCGGTAGTAACACTGGGTGCCGCGGTTAAGATTGATAAAGAAGATTGTGAGGACCTGCAATGGGCGTCAGCGTTTTTGAGCTCAAGTTTTCCAAGGAACCGAAATTAAGGTAAAACATCCTTTCAAGTTAGTGGTGTTAGCTTTGCGGGACTGTCGAGAAGGCTTAAGTTTTTGCTCTAAGAATGTAGTCTGACATGTGCTGTGTGAATGGAGTGATGCCAAACTTTGAGACAGCAGAGTTTCTTGTAAGTTTAAAGCATTTCATCACCAGGCAAAAACGACCTTAAAGAATTTGCTAACTCAAACCACAGACAATAGCAAAAAGTTCGTCAGTGAAGCCTAACGAATCAAGTAAGAGGTGATAGACAAAAAGCTTGGTGGTTTCATGACTCAGCAGGGAATCCAGTGGAAAATTCAATCTCGTGCACCTTGGTTGGGGTACAAATTCCATGTTCTACTCTATCGGGAACGGTCTGTTGTCTTGAACCAAACTTCAAGTGCTACTAGACGTTTACGGCTAGGTGTTCTCAACAAGAGGCCATCCTTATCCCAAGCTATCTATTGTTCTTTCAACCAAATGTACTCCCAGACCTAGAGTCAAGGAACCATTGAAGAATACGACCTCAGAAAGCGGGCGTAGTATTTGCTGATGTGCAAGGACGCTTGATATGGTCTCACTTGAAGGAATACTTGCCTCGCAGGCTCCGAAAGAAATGCCTTCTGAGGTACACGGAAAACAGCAATTATCCAGCGAGAGGGACATGTGGCAATCATCACCGCAAAAACCGTGTTTGGGGAAAGCTGGAAGCCGTGTTAGACGTGATAAGTCGCCGAAATGGTGTAATTCGGAGAGTTAAGCACTTCCAAGTCTGTCATGGAACGCCTAGTGTAGCATGTGCACTCCATCCAGCTTACCTAAGACTGCAGTGGAGACTTGCAGTGGTAAATTGCATCATGATCGCCATTTAACTTGTTGTGATCACCGTTTCCAGTGATGTCTTGAACTCTTCAAGTTAAAACAACAGAAAATGCGATTTGTGTCCAAGTTTCATCTGGATGGGCATGCCAAAATAACGGATTTAGGAAGTGCTGTGGCTTTTGTCACAAGAATACTGTGCCACGACTTTTGAGAGAAGATCTATATTTTCTGAATTCAAGACTTGCCAGTAAGTTTTTGCCTTCTAACACGAATGAACACAGTTCTCTGAAGCAGCAATAGTAAAAACCAGCATCCATTCACTCTCAATTTACCGGCAAATTAAACACGAAACTGTTGATCATTCACGGGAAAATATTGCCCTCATCATATACAGTACATCTTGCAAACAGCGCATATTTATTTATTTCAGATATATCGTTTTAATTGCAGCAGATAAAATCATTCTAATTAATCAAAACCGTCGAACGCACTGCAATAATGAATGATCTTTTATAACTGCTAACGGCCGCGTTGAAAAGTAGTCATTTAATTTAGTTTTGATGATTATGTGTACGAATTGTTTAATTCATTGCAGAGTATGCATCGGCGAACATTCGACACAATTACTGATTACTAGGTTATTTAAAGTAAGTCTAGTAAAGAACAAAATTGTAGTTTAGTAACAACCCAGTCCTACAGGAATGATGGCAACCACGTTTCCGAGCACTTATCCATTAGGACCCAACTGAATTAACTGAATTGAGCACTGGACACGTGTACCTGCCGGTTACTTCATTATTCTTTACAGAGAAACCATGCATCTGACCATTTTCCTTATCACTTTGGGTGTTGCCGTTGTAACCCATGCCTACCAGAATCTGGCCACGGCTAAAGGTCTCAGATTTCTAGGTGTTGGCTATAACATCCTGAAAGGCAATCCTGAAGGTGGCAAATTGTCACACGGTGGTGTCGACCCAGGACTACTCTCGACAAGAAAGATACTCAAACTGACATGGGATACAAAGAAGACTTCCGTGGATGGGAAGTTCCGCGTGCCAGACGAGGTTCTCTTTGTTCATCGCTCATCGTGCGTCGAATTTACCACAAACGAAGTATTTTCCGGGGCCAAGTCTTATCAAGATAAACTCAAGATAGATGTGAAAGCCAGTGGTGAGCTTAGAAATTTTGTGATTGAAATAGATTTGATTTTACTTTGTTGTGGATACTTTTGCTCCCAGGTTACTTAGACCAAATATAACGTATTAACAGACCTGGTGTAAACCTTGTTGTCGACTACGGCAGTCAAACCAGCATCCCACTAAGTACCAAGGCTATTTACTTCATGCAAAATACTCTTAATTATGTTTTTTTCTTTGGAGGAAAACAGAGGGAGAAAAACAGTGCACGGAAACAGAGCAAAGAATACTTATGCTTTTATTGTTTTTTTTTTTACATAGCTGATTATGACGCAGGGTTATGGAATGTCGCCTTCAGTCTCAGTTCAAGTAAGAACTTTTATCGATATGTCTGACTTCAGGTGATGTACTCACTGGGTTAAGGAACACAAGCTCCGCAGTACCAAAAATAAAAGCCTTAAATGTAGTTATCACAATAGAATAATTTATTACTTTTAACTGTTAACGTGGAACTAACGTAGTAATTGAACTATGTACAGAATTCATAATTAAGGAACTTGCAGCAGCCTCGTACACGCCTAAGGGGAAACTAATGAAAAATAATAAAGTAATATGTTTAGCTCAGTTTTAATTAAGTAGTCTAGTTCTACCCGAGATCTGCTTTAGACACGTTCCTTGTGATTTACTGCTTACCTGCTATACCGTTTGATGGTTATCCCGATCAAGAAAAGTTTATAAGAAAACTCGCCATAAAAAATATATTGTGCATCTTAATTTCAGACCGAATAAAACTCGGTTATACGATTACGAGCACTCCTCGGTGGTGGATCGTCTTGGTTTTCTTGCAAAACATCAGCGTCTTATATTTTATTTCCAAAAGGTCTAGATAACAGCAGACACGTAAAGATTTTAAGGAAAACGACCAATTTTTTAAGTTTACAAGACATGTTTCGACGGAACTTCTGTCATCTTGAGTTGAATGATTACAAAGCAAGTTGAATAATAAGGAGACAAAAATGCTAATTAAGACGAATAGTAACAAAAAAACGTGAAAAGGTGTAAATTAAAAGGATAATTTTAGATTTACATGATGTAATTGCTGATTGAGGCAAGGTAGTTCTTTTTGAATATGGATAGCCTCCTTTATCTTGAGTTGAAAGCTGGTAGTGGCGTGATCTAAAATATGAAAG